TGCTTTAAAAATTGAAATATAGTACAACTATTTATTACTTGGTATAACTATAAAAAATGATAAAACTAATTATTTGATACAACTAAAATAAAAAAAACCATCGTATATTAACTTAGTCAACAATAATTTATGAGACATTATTACTTGTAAGTCTCTTTTACAACTTGGTTTCGGATTTGGTCCCACCTAAGATGTATTTATCACAGACGGGTCCAAGCTGAAGAAAACAGTGTAAACTATAACGTGTCTTTCAAAGTAGCCTCAAAGTCACAGCCCACTACTTCTCAATGAATGAACAAAACATAGCTAGAGAAACCTCATCACTACTCTTACCTACCATGCCCAATAATTGATATTATTTTTGTTTTCTTGCTTTTTTTTTGTTTGGTCTCCGAATGAGATAGTTTGGCTCTCTCCCAAAAGAGTAAATTAGCTAAATAACCAAAACTTTATCTATATTTAGAAAAATGATTGAAATTGTGAGGATTTTTTTTTGAAAAATAGCAGGGGATTTTCTTCTTCCTCTGGTTCTAGTTAATTTGTCAATTTGTGTATATTCTTTCCAAAAACTTTGTAAAAAAAAAAGTTCAGAAAAAAAAATGAAGAAATAGAAAAGGTCTTCGCAGACCAACCTTCTTGCCTCTCACTGAGTCTCATGGCGTCTCAAGATTCTCATATGCTGATGAAGCTCGTGAGCTTCTTTTTACTCACTCTTTTAGACACTACTGTCGTCGATTCGGAACCTCAGTGTCGGAATTTCAAGTCGATCATCAGTTTCGGTGATTCCATTGCCGACACTGGAAACTTGGTCGCTCTCTCTGATCCTAACAGTCTTCCTCACGTCGCGTTTCCTCCGTACGGAGAGACTTTCTTCCACCATCCCACCGGTCGTTTCTCAAACGGTCGCCTTGTAATCGATTTCATCGGTAAGTCAACTGTGTCTGTCTCTTTTTGTCTTCTCTCTTTGAAGTGTGTGAGTGAGTGATTAAAATGAAATATTTGCTTGAAATATTACATGCCAAGATTCAAGAATGTGTTTCCCAACAATTCGTAGCAAAGAGTAAAGACCAGAAACTGTGGTCAAGTCCTGTTGGTTCCACACTCATGCTCTCTCTCTTTCTTTGGTTCTATTCACAGCTGAATTCTTGGGTTTACCGCTTGTTCCTCCTTTTTATGGATCTCAAAGTGTAAACTTTGTAAAGGGAGTTAATTTCGCGGTCGGGGGAGCAACAGCACTGGAACAATCCTTTCTTGAAGACAGAGGAATTCATTTTCCTTACACCAATGTCAGTTTAGGTGTTCAACTTAAGAGCTTCAAAGAGAGTTTGCCTAACCTATATGGCTCACCTTCAGGTAGGGGAAAGATCGAACCTTTTTCGGTGTTTCCTGTTTTATATAATCATAATATATCAAATTTGATATCTTATTCTTCAATAGTTAATCTCCCACTAGAGTTGATCAAGTTTTTGAAAGTTGTAGCTAGTAGCAGGCCTAATACTCTGCTTTGGTTTAGAAGTAGGGAGTCACCACAAAGAAAGAAAATTTGACATTCTGTTTTGGGTTGTGCTTAGAGATACTACTCGTTTATGTTAACCTCATTCAGTGATGCAATGAATAGTGGTTTTACTTTGTAATCTTGTTTTAGACTGCAGAGATATGATTGAAAATGCTTTGATTCTCATGGGAGAAATTGGAGGCAACGATTATAATTACGCATTCTTTGTTGGCAAAAGCGTCGAAGAGATCAAAGAGCTGGTTCCACTGGTTATCACTACTATCTCTTCTGCAATCACGGTAATCCTCGTCAAATTCTTGATCTGCCTATCCAGGGAACAACAAAAGCAGAAACTTTATTGTGTGTTTTGCGACTGAATATCGAAAGCGCAGGAGTTGATCGGTATGGGAGGTAGAACATTTCTGGTGCCCGGAGAGTTCCCACTTGGATGCTCAGTAGCCTATTTGACATTATATAAAACATCAAACATGGAAGAATTCGATCCTCTAACAGGATGTTTGACATGGCTGAACAAGTTTGGAGAATACCACAGCGATCAACTTCAAGCAGAGCTCATAAGACTCCAGAAGCTTTACCCTCATGTCAACATCATATACGGTGACTACTACAACGCGATGTTACGGATTTTCCAAGAACCAACCAAGTTCGGTTAGTCTTCTTGATCCTATCTACTCAGCCAAAGTCATTTGATTCGATTCACTAACCGAGTTAGTTATCCAATTATCAGGGTTTATCAACCGACCGTTGCCTTCTTGTTGCGGCGTAGGAGGAACGTACAACTACACGGTCGGTGTGCAATGTGGCATTGGAGTAGTGGAGTGTTGTAGTGATCCTTCAAAGTATGTGAATTGGGATGGTGTTCATTTGACAGAGGCTGCATACAGATTGTTAGCTGATGGATTACTTAATGGACCTTATGCGATTCCTCCTTTCGATTGGTCTTGCCTCAGCTCTGAAATTAAGAACAAGGAGTCATTAGACACAGAGTAGTCTTTTGCTAAAGAGCTGATACAAAGCTTGTCTGTGTGATTTGTTTTTTTTTTAATGCAGTATAAACATATTTTATAACTAAAGTTATTATAGAATTAAAATAAAATAATAAAAGGTTTAATTTACAAAACTTTTTGAAAAAAAAATCTAGATTCACAAAGATGCAATAAAAAATATCTTTTATTTATTAACTCCCTTAAAATATAATTTATGGAGGGAGTTGTTGCGGCGTGGAACGAAAAAAACAGATTAATGTGTTTGCGTCGGTGTCTGAATTAAAGAGTAGACAGAGAGACAGAGACGAGAACAGGAACTTGTCTTCAAACTTTCAAATCCCAAACAACAATGGCCATAGCTACATTTGCTTTTCTTCCATGTCGTCTCCGGTTTCTCATTTGTTCATAGCTACATTTGGCGATTCGATTACCGACACCGGAAACTTGATCTCTCTCTCCGACCCTAACGAGCTTCCTGCTGCCGCGTTTCCGCCTTACGGAGAAACCTTCTTCCACAACCCCACTTGTCGTTTCTCCAATGGTCGTCTCATCATTGACTTCATCGGTTATTCTCCTTTTTATCTCTCTAGTTGATACTGAAATTATCGCTTTGTTCCGATTTTCATGTTAGAAA